CCGTTAACGCGTGCCGGCTTGGAAGTTTCCCGAAATCTTATTCGTGTCAGTCGATTTTGAAGTCGGATAATTGCAAGGTTTCCTGCAATTTCTGGAAAACTTACCGTACTGGTTATGATACCAGCACCAGTCGGGATTGTCTGTCTCTCGTGGTCGAGAGCCAGATCGCTTACGTGAGACGCTTCTACGCGGGGTTTTTGACCGACTACGGTCATTGCGAACTCTAATATATCGTGTAAGCGTGTGACATAGTTCGGCCATGTCAGTCGAGGTCGATTGGGGTTTTTCCTTGACGGAAAAAACCTCGGCCTTAGAAGATCTAGTGATTTCCAAGATTCCATCGGCAGATGCAGCTAGTTCATCTATGGCATTGTTTTGAAATGAAACAAGCACTGCCTGCACCTGTTGAGGGAGTTTAGACAAGAAAAGTTGTCTAAATAGGCCATCATCGAAAGTTCGTTGGCCGATGACTTCTCTCATTCTAAGCAACATGTCCGTCGCAGAACCATGTTGCAAGTCGATATTGTTAAGGAGTTGGTCTAACCGTTGTCGATCAGTTAGGTCTCCTCGTTTTAAAATCGATAGCTTAAGCGATTCGTAAGGTTCGGAAACATCACTAGTAAACATACTAGGTGTTACGTACCTGTTAAACTCGCGCGGTAACGCCTCAACTACCGCGAGGAAACGTGTGCGCGAGTCCGTGATTCCGTGCATGCAAAAATCGGCTTCTGCGTAGCAGAACCAGGACTCGATATTGTCGGGCCAAAATGGCGTTAACTGAATCGAAATAGGGGGAATAGACTTAAACTTAAGAACCTTAGGAGAGTGTTCCGTCATAGTAATATAGATGACGAAAAATGTCTAAGTAAAATATATCCGAGAAAAAAACTGCGAAAAGAAGTATATCACAATATATAAAATTCAAATAAAGAATAACAATGAATAATAATATTCCAAAATGGAACAGACTCACAGTATATTGACTTGGTGTACCAGATCACGTCGGTCTCACCAATGATGATGCAACGGATGTTCTAGTTTTACAACTAGCTACCAGTAGCACCTTCTATATTTGATCGTTCCCAGTCAGATAGAAATCAGAAGTCAGACGAGAAGAGGCAGGAAAGATATATTTGATTCGTTACCAATATATCGAGGACCTTTTCTATGAGCTGGCTAATGAAACGTAGGAGCTGTGTCCCACGCCGTGTTGAAACGTGATCTGGTGCGGATGCATGACCGAAAGCCTTCAGCTAAACAAGTCCACTTAAACAACATGGTCAGCATCCAATGTCGAACACTTAATGAACTATTGATTTTGGGGAATTATTTACAGCTACATACTCAACCAAGAGGATATACTGACACTTCAGGAGGGTCTGACTTGACTTCAAATTTGGGAAGATAACAACAGGCTTACCTTTAACACTTCAAAGTGTAAAGTAGTCCATCTGCGACATGTTGCAGACTGCAGTTGCAACTTAGGCAACTCCTCTCTAGACGTGTCTGTAGTTGAAAAAGATTTAGGAGTGTTGATACCCTACGATTCGAAGTTTTAAGCTAACTGTGACAAGGATGCCTTCCGAGCAAACCCTACACTGGTAACATTGAAGCGCATTTTCGGCCAGTTTGACGTAGAAACTTCACACATAATCTTCAAAACATAGTATTTCCAAAAAAGATAAGGACACTCTGGAGCGTAGACACAAGTTCTACTCCTTAAGAGTTGTCCAATGCTGGAACTCGCTGCCGAGTGATTTAGATCAAGCGACTTCTCAGGAGTCATTTAAGAGGAAACTTAACCTATTCTTAAGGACTAAGGATAAGATCTTATTATGACTTACCAATAAGTTTTTTCTATTATCGTTAATATACCTAGGTTCCTGCATGGAGGTATTGGTGATCCACTGCTACTAGACACGGAAGCCCGTTAAGCAAAAGCTTCTTCTATTCCGTCTACAACCATTTGAACAATTTGGATACTGTCCGTGAGCCAAACTTAACTTCAAGGTTAGATCAAGGCTAAACAGAGTCCAAGGACAGTGGGGGCTTGATTTGCGGAATTCATTCTTTGTTCATTGTATAATGGCAGTTTAGAGTTTTGATTTATACTAGTGACAAGTATTTTTAAGTAATCAATTAGCTTATGTAAATATATTGTCTTATTGAACTAGTTAGCTTCAGATTTTCAATAGGAATGTTACTTTTTCGTTAGTTAATCCTAGTCTGACAAATTGCAACGTGTCCCTCCTACGGTAAAAATGTAGATGTTGGCTGCTTTCTATTTTAGTTCACTTGAGATGCGTAATCGGATAATTTCCACGAATACCCAAGTACGGATAAAATACCTGTTCAAAGTTCAAATCTCTACAAATATGTATTCAGTGGAGAAAATGCTTTCTTTTTAGTTCGCTTTTTATGCTTATACCCACACTGATCGCAACTTATATCGAGTAAAGATGAGTTTTTCAGGAACCTTATGACTTGCAAAACCATAATGTATGGACAAATCAATGAAATTAAAAATAGTAAACCTTGAAGTTTGCCCCGAGATTCATGTGCCCATATATTCAAATAGCATTCTGGGATCATAGCTGGTGTCCGTTAATGATGAAGGCCGTTAATTTAGTCCCTATCCCTAAATTCAAACTCGTACCCTTAATTCCTCATACTAGTTTATATCCTTTTTCCGACCTTAGAAAGTTGATAAGTCGTCCTGAGATCACTTCAGAGTTGCTGAAAGGTCGTCCAAAAACTATAGTTTCGCCGACCAGGTCAAGCTAAAAGATACTTGAATGGGTCTTATTGTATTTCAGCCGAATGAACAGATAACAGTGATTGTTTGCTGAAATTATCCTTAGGCAACTGATTATTTCTTAAAAATAACGGAATTCAGCATTAGGAATGACATTGATAAACCCTAGCACCAACCGATTAATAGACATAAATTGATCATTTCGGCATTGTTCATCGTTAGGTAGTATTGATTAAAAACTTTGCTCCTTCTGGAGTACATGCATGAACTTCGATCATTGTTCATCGTTAGGTAGTATTGATTAAAAACTTTGCTCCTTCTGGAGTACATGCATGAACTTCGATCATTGTTCATCGTTAGGTAGTATTGATTAAAAACTTTGCTCCTTCTGGAGTACATGCATGAACTTCGATCAGTAGGATTTCCCTTGTATATAAGTTTTACATGATGTAGGGAAGTCACAACAGGGAAACCCTTTAGATACTAATTTGAAGATGGAAAGTTCAGGGATGCATGCAGGGAGGAATTAGATATGGATTCAGTCGATTACAGTTTATCCTGAAGAATCTTGAAATGCTATTCAAACATTTGTAATTATAACAATAACATCTATTAACGACTGAAATCAAATTTTAAAAAGGGCCATTGTATTTCAGTACCATCTACCAAAGTAGTAGATGCACAAAAACTCATTCTTCCAGGCTCAAAGAACAATGGTGAGGTAAAACAACTCAAACCTAAACTAGCAAGGAGTTTGCTCGATGGTTCTGAGCTTTGGTAGACAACAAAAATGAGATAGATGACAAACGTAGTGCCAGCAGATAACTGTTCAGATTAATTGAGGGGGCAGGTAATAAATAGGCAGTTGTTAGTGAGATTATCCTGGAAAACGATGGAACTGTTATTCATTGTCAGTCTAGAGGGTTAGATCGATAAGCAGCATACTTTTGGCAACAGTTCAACTGGCCTCCAGATATGTTATAATTATCCACTGTTTGACTGATGAGGTTGTGAATACTTATCTACCGAGGTGGTTAGAATATGTGTTACATGTGCCTAATTACTGCTTACCTCGACAGGTGGTACTTGTCAGTGTAAGAGCAATTTAGGAGAAAACTTGGAGGTGCTAAACTAAAATGTAGCCTAAGTCCATTAAGTCATCGATTGTAAAAATGAGCCATGTCGTAATATGCAGGCAACCTGGTCGGGGTCTACGCAATAACGACGATTAGTGACTCGAGACTGGGTGACATGGTTCAGAATCGTTTTCGATGAGGCAGACGCATTCAAGTTATCCTCCTCTCAATTTTAAATTTCAGCATTCCTGTGTATACACTTTTTCACTGTTTCTTTGTGCTATATTCCTTGTGCTTAGTCTTCTTCGTTATCATTGCTGAAACATGATTCCGCCTCTAACTATACATCATGTCAATTTTATCTCGTTACGCTAACGCGGTATGGCAACTTGGGCCAGCGCACACCTATGCCATGTTCTACGTTGATGAGTAGTGACTGAACAGTGTATCTAACCTCGTTTAAATAGAGAATTCAGTCTTGTAAGTCATGTTTCAAGTATAACCAAAGATGGAAAAACTTATGTTGGTCACAAAAAATTGAATAGAAGAAAGACTTCGTCTCATTCTAGAGGAATGATTTAACTCATAAAACTGTAGATTCCCAATTTATAAGGGCTATCATTAACAACCTGTTGTGTATTCATACTAACAGCCTCGTTATAGACTCATACATCTTAGGATAGTAGCTAAAAACGTTTAACCTTATATGAGTCATTTGATCTTTGTTATCGGTTTATACACTGATTTTCAGTACCCCGTAATTGTAATTTTTTAAGCTCCATAATCAATAGTATTTCAGAATACATAGCTGACGGTTTTAAATTCTTCACATTTTTCTTTCGAAATTCACTATGATTTTGGTATTCATCAGATTTGTCGATTATCAAACATTCATAGATCCATCAACCATGGGATTAAGCCTTGTATCATTTTAGGCATCCGGATTTTGTTATTTACGCATCCATACTTTGTTTCCTTAGATTTTATATAATCAGAGGCAGTATCTTTACAGTTACGTATACGTGTGCTCCTCGATTTCCAATTCTTTTTATTTCGTCTACTGAAATGCCTAAAATGTGGTTTTTCAAAATTATGTGCTTCTGAAATTACAGGTTGTGAATCGTTGATGTAGAATAAATATCTACTTCAGATTTTAGTTTATATTTACAATGCCAGCACAACACATCGCTCTGGCATTATTCTTAGTTCTATTGGCAATTGGAGTCATCATTTTGATCAGCATACTAGTTGTTGTCAAAAGACGTATAGCTCGACGAAAAAGCCGAATAGGACGTACTACTTATAATTCATGTGGACATGGCCTACCAAAAGTAAGACAATATGAATTTACTTTTACTTTGTCGATCTTAACTGAGCGATTAAGTCCCTCATTTTCCTGAATTAAGTATTCTCGATAAACTCGGGAAACTTATTTGTTATTATTGTCTGGACAAATCAGTGAAATTGTGGAAGTAAAGGAGTTTGTATCCATTGGACTCTTAAATTTGTCAGCAGTACACAACTACTTGTGTACTAAATGACAATTAGTTATCCTTCAGCAAAAACTTTGAAACACTTCAACAGCTGCTGAATTTTATCAAGCTATGAATGAAGTAAAATTGAAACTTATCCAGTGTTAATCCCAATATTACAACTAGATGTTTTCTTTAGTCAAACTAAAATAACTATGCTTTGTAGACTTAGTTACATAGAGTAGTGTCTGTTGTGTTAAAAAGACACAGTTATTGAGGTAAAGTTGAAAATTAGTAATCAAGCAGGTATTTTTAACGTAGTTTTGGAGTCAGGAACTCAGATATTGTTAGTTCCGACCTAGTTTTATTCAAGGTATTTTAATGACTTTTATCATACTCGTCACGTTAACGGGTCAAATTGTGCTCTTCAAGAATTTGTACTGAAACAAACTGTTTTTGTTCATTTTCGTAATGCTTTTTCATAACTGATTTGTATGAGGCTTGCATAAACTTCGTTAGTATCAATGTGCTAACATGAATACCTTTAAACGGCTTCACTGAGTATTTACAGTTAATTATTTCGGTTACCCAGAATGTTATTTTTCTGGTGGTTCAAGGTTCATTTTATAATTCAAGTGAATTTCTCTTGTATTACCTCCATTTGACTGTTCTCATTCTTTTTGTTTACTTCAATGCCACCATTGTAATTCGATGCCTCATATGCCTACTTAAAACATAAATCGGAAAACTCAGTAAAAAATCTTATGCTTTCTTTTATCAATCTACTACCTCGTTTTACTTCATATCTATTCGAGTTAAGCGAAGAAACTGCGTATTGTATTATATAAATGTAGTTCAATGATAAAATCCCTCTTCTCAAACATCGCAGTTCATAAAACCAATTAAAATTCAGTTCATTTGTAAGGGTTTGAATCTTCTTATTGATCTTAAGGACTACAACTGATCAATCTCTAAGTCAATCATCTCAATATTACCATTAAGTTACAAAACGTTTTTAAGCAGAGTTAAATAGTGACTAGTTGGATGCGCTTCTCTTCCCATTTGAGAATCGTCATCTGGATACATCTGCACCCCAGATTTGATTTTCTCACCTGAAATCAAACCTAGTATCTTTCGCTTCTAGTGTTCAACACGTTAACCGCTTAACTACTGAGTCCCGTTGAGAACATCAACACTGAAGTGCATTCATATCCAGCTATCGAGCCTTATATAGGATGGAGCAGGAATTTTAAATTCCACTGCTAGCCCCCAAATGCCCTGGTACAACCGAGAGTGGGGAGAGTCTGCCCTCCCTCTCGAAATGCTCTTATATGGCCACGCGAATATATAGCCTCTGACAGGGAAGTCCTACTCACTGCCTTCTCGTGGCAGGGGTGTTGTTCACAAAAGTGAGAGGACGAAAAGCGAATGTCCGGCACTTTAACCGGGTTGGTGGATGTGGAGGATCCACCTAGGGGAGTTGGAAAACCCTGATTCCAAACCAATGGTACACATGGGCTCCAGTATCCTGAAGGAACAAATGGCGTACGAATCAATCATTGATCACCGGCTACCATGGGACTGCATCTCCTCACGATGCTCCACTGCCTTGTGGACTAGGCCTTTAGGTCAAAGGCTCCGGGTGTGGACCCCTAAGAAAACCACCTGCTTCAATCTGGGCACCTGGGCAGTATCATAGCCCTCACACTAATCGAATGAGATTTGTGAGGCGCATATGTATCTGGTGCTTTCTTGTACCAATATTTATGTGTTTAAATAAATAAATAATATAAAAGCCATCACCCAACTCATTATGAACGATTACAATCCATTTGTAAGAGTTTATGCTGAAATTATTCTTATTTTTCTTTGTTTATTCATGACCAAAGGTTTGGAAGTCAAATATTGAAAAAAAAATTAATGGTACTGTCAAGATACGCACTGAACCTCAGGTATTCGGTCTTCATTATTCTGAAAACTATGATGTCTACACTTCTGCTGGTATGTATAGTGTAGTATATATATGACTTAATTTCTTCATCATATTGCAGGTGAAGTGACTTTTCTTTATCGTGCCAAGACAGTCGATCAGTTTCTCATGCTAAGTAAGTTGGTGGTTAAATTTTTTAAAAATTTTTTAAAATAAAATGACTCGTGAAAGTTAAGTCGTTGCTTTTTTCTCCTTCCCCCTCTTTTTCTGTTTTGTATCTCAAATAGAACAAGCCATACTTTCCTTGGATCCGACTTTAGAAGCTCCTCCATTAAGAGATATACGTGATTTCTTATTGACAGCTCGTCATAATATCATGAATCCACCACCATCTCGTGATTACATTGAAGAATATTGTCAACTATATTTATGGGCGAGGCATGATTTAAATGTAAGTAGATTGTTCTTTATTCTTCTCCTCCTAAAATGCCCTGGTACGGCCGAGAGTGGGGAGAGTCCGCTCTCCCTCTCCAAATGCTCTCACATGTCCACGCGTATACAGCCTCTGACAGGGAAGTCCTACTCATTGCCTTCTCACAGTGGCGGGGGTATTGTTCACGAAAGTGATGGGACGAAAAGCGAATGTCCGGTGCTTTAACCGGGTTGGTGGACACGGCGCGTCCACCTAGGAGAGTTGGAAAACCCTGATTCCAAACTAATGGTGCACATGGGCTCCAATATCCTGAAGGAACAAATGGCGTATGAACCAATTGTTGGTCAATGGCTACCATGGGACTGCATCTCCTTACGATGCTCCACTGTCTTCTGGATCAGACCCTTAGGTCAAAGACTCTGGGTGTGGTCCCCTAAGAAAACCATCTGCTTCAGTTTTGGCACCTGGGCAGTATCATTGCCGTCACACAAATCGAATGAGATTCGTGTGGTGCATATGTATCTGGTGCTTCATTGTACCAATATCTATGTGTATAAATAAAAAATAAAATAAATCTTCTAGTTTAAAATCATTGAAATAGATATTTTACATAAATGTTGGTTTCTCTTTCTAGCCTTTTGGTGAATCAGAATATAGACGGTTTTGTGAATTGCAAACTAATTTATTAGAAATGTAAGTTTGTATTCATAAACTGTAGTAATCTATTCTTTTAATCTGTATAATTTGTTATTTTATAAGCTGGATTTTGTCACAGAATGATCGCAACTGGGGGAAACGTTGAAAACTAGCACAGAGAACACTACTAAAAGGTTTCTTTTTAGTATTGGTCTCAGTACTCCCTGGTTCCAAATTGTTCCCCAGTTTGTAATCAATTCATGACAAAAACCGGATAATATGTTCAATGAATGAATCCCAGTTCATTTTCGTTTATATTCTCTAATTAAAAGACAAGATGGGAAAACATCTTATATGAGAAAGGCATCAGCCTCTTGACTTCCGAAAAATCTCAGCTTTCACCGTTAGGCGTCGTAACTCTTTTATATGAAGATTCTTTGACTCACCGAGTAGAATTTAGTTGGTTTGCTCCGCGGCGTTGTTATAACTAGTAACCATACCAATATTTTGTTCTAGATACAGTACTGATATGCAACACTCACCCACTAAATGAACGAAAAAAATGCTCGAGATTTTGGAAACCGAACAATTTTTAAACGTTGAAAAGTAGATAGGCGACCTCACATAGTATATTATTATTTATTATTTAAACACATAAATATTGGTACAAGAAAGCACCAGATACATATGCGCCTCACAAATCTCATTCGATTAGTGTGAGGGCTATGATACTGCCCAGGTGCCCAGATTGAAGCAGGTGGTTTTCTTAGGGGTCCACACCCGGAGCCTTTGACCTAAAGGCCTAGTCCACAAGGCAGTGGAGCATCGTGAGGAGATGCAGTCCCATGGTAGCCGGTGATCAATGATTGGTTCATACGCCATTTGTTCCTTCAGGATACTGGAGCCCATGTGCACCATTGGTTTGTAATCAGGGTTTTCCAACTCCTCTAGGTGGATCCTCCACATCCACCAACCCGGTTAAAGTGCCGGACATTCGCTTTTCGTCCTCTCAGTTTCGTAAACAACACCCCCGTCACTAGAAGGCAGTGACATAGAATAACTTGACTTAAATTTTAAAACGAAATACAAGCAATTACAACAGTAATTCTGTGTGTCATTACTCGGAATAGTTGTTTACAATTTGTTAAAAATAACAAAAAATGTTCTTTGGTAGTGACATGATTTCAAGATGAAAATATGCCTTATTGATTACCTTCAGTAACTCACAGGATGGTCTTAAAGAAAGTTAAACTGATTCCCAGCTAGTTAAAATACAAATGATATAAATAAACAATGTATTATCACGATATGGGTTTAGGGTTAGGAGTTAGGCGTAATGGTCAAGGCCCCAAATGCCCTGGTACAGCCGAGAGTGGGTAGAGCCCTCTCTCCCTCTCGAAATGCTCTCACATGGCCACGCGTATATAGCCTCTGACAGGGAAGTCCTACTCACTGCATTCTCGTGATCCCGGTGTTGTTTACGAGATTTAGAGGATGAAAAGCGAATATCCGGCACTTTAACCGGATTGGTGGATGTGGAGGATCCACCTAGGGGAGTTGGAAAACCCTGTTTAGAAACCAATGGTGCACATGGGCTCCAGTATCCTGAAGGAACAAATGGCGTATGAACCAATTGCTGGTCACCGACTACCATGGGACTGCATCTCCTTAAGATGTTCCACTGCCTTGTGGATCAGACCCTAAGGTCAAAGGCTCCGGGTGTGACCCCTTAAGAAAACCACCTACTTCAGTTTGGGCATCTGGGCAGTATCACAACCCTCACACATATCGAATGAGGTTTGTGAGGCGCATATGTATCTGGTGCTTCCTTGTACCAATACTTATGTGTTTAAATAATGTATGTATGTAATGGTCAAGAAGTGAAAAAAATAATCTGTAGACATGCATCCATACTTAGTTGTTTGATTAAAAAACATCAAGAAACTTTTCGGTTACCCTTGAAAATCCACAAATCATGGTCCTTAATTCTCTAATTCCCATGATGTTTATCAATTTCAAGCGTCTAAGTAACTAAATATTGGCAAGTTTCATTACCTAACTCTTAATAAAATGCAAACTCTTAGTCATTTCCTTTTGAATTTTGCGCAAAAATCTTAAATTAGTTTGGTTCATTGATAAATTATACGTTTGCTGACTTCGATTTTATTGTGTCACTATTATTATGATTATTATTTTTCATTTTTCAAGAGTCAATCGTACAGGACCATGGCCTGTCTATTCATCAGGTGGAATCAATACTGTTGGTCAATCATCATCCGAGCATTCATCAAAGATACATAAAAGAACTCATTCAAATTTTAAAATTAATTTTCCATCATTTCTATTTAAGGCAACAGAACATTCACAACCTCGTGTTGTTCGTTCAGGTGCTTCTGTTACAACAGTAACAACTACAATACCATCATCATCGCTGACAACAGCAATAACTACGAGTATTGCATTATCAACAGCTACATTATCATCACCATCAATATCTGTAGTTCATCAATCACGTCCAACACGTGTTAAAGTATTATCTAGAACTGGACAACCTAGTGGTTTAAATTTAAAACGTTTATCTCATTCAACACATCGTAAAAAGCATGAATTATTAGTTTCACCATCGGAACATGAAACACTTACTGGAAATTCACATTTAATTCATTCAAGTCATGTATTTACAAATGATATTATCGGTGAAATTGATTCCAATGTAGATAGAATTGAAACAAAAACCGGTAATTGTTCACATCGTCGTGATAGTTGTCAAAGTGATGGTTCACAAACAGCTTTAATTGATCTAGAACCTGTTATTGTTGTAAATCAATCGAAAACATCATTGCAACCATCACGACAAATAAAACTCAATGAATCTTACAATATTCAACCGGATACAAAAAATCTGACACGATTTAACAAAGGTGAGTATGTGTTATGTATTATTCTATCGGATTATGCATATAGTTACGTTGTCTCTTGTCTAGTATCATTTTGAACAGTATGCACTTGAATCAGCTTGATACAAATCGAAAAAAGGTTAGGAAGAAGGTTACATTATCAGAGGGTGGGCAAAACAACATACTTACTTACGCCTGTTACCCCTCGTAAGGAGAAAATAGGTTTCTCACCAGCGTTCTCTATAGTGTTGCGTGTTCGCTAGTCGGGCTAACCAGTTATGTAGTGGCCTAAATCTGATTCCTTTTGGATCGTACGTACTGTCTATCCTCGTATGTAATAAATGACTTGATCCGCGTTGGTTAATAACGGAGTTAAATAAGTCAAATACGAGAATGGAGTTAGAATACATATATTTTCTACACTCAATGATCTGGCCATGGAATCAGAGCGATGTAGCGAACAGAAGCAAGCGAAGCAAAGACGATGCGTATTGGAGATGGCTGGGAAGCCAACTCGATTTAAGCAAGCGTTAATCAACATTTATAGTTGGACAAAAATGAGTGACAGACATATGATGAATAAGATACGAAGTGTACACATATATGCTCATGTAAAAGTATAGCCAAGGTTAATAAGCAAATGATTAACAAGATCAAAAGATGACTCAATGTACAGGTGGATTGGCTTGGCCAGCAACTAGAATAAAGTATATGGGCTTAACATATACACCGATACTACAATAGAACTTTGTCCTGGACAATCCTTTCCAGTTGCTATTCATTCTTTTGATGTCTCCTAATTCTCGATGCAGTGTGTTCTTTGGCCCTCCTCTTTTACGTTTCCCTTCAGATCTATTATGATTTTGATTGTACTAAAAATATTCTGCATTATTTCCTTTGTACTATTTAAAATTGTGTTAATTTAATTCGGTTATTCATTTACTTTGGGAGAGTGGCTTACATTAAGTCACGAAACGTCAGGTGTACAATTTTTCTACTCATTGGGATATAACAAAGAATATATTTATTACTAACGATAGAGATAATTGGTTTCATTGGTAAACCATGTTTATGCAGTTTTGTTTATCCATAGTTAAATTGTGAGCGTTAGCCAAATTGTTCGAGTTCCCTATGTGGTGTGCGCTACTGATGTCGACAGATATAAGTAGTATGTATCGCCATTCAAAAGTGGTATGACTGGCGGCAGAAGGTTGAAAAAATCGAAGTGAAGAGAACGAGAACAAAGAGTGATTGGTATGGAAACTCTGCATCCCAGAGTTGATGTTCACTCCGGGACTCGTACTCAGTGTCGTTCACTTTAAACGCATAGGATGCATATATGCCAACAAGAGACTGATCGATTGCAGTCTTAAACAATAATGAGAAGATTCAAGCAAACAATACCTAGTGAATTTAATTGTTGGATATTTTGCAAATGAAGTATTTACTGTATGGTTCCTAGATTTTACCAAGATATTGTGTAATGTTGTACTAAAGTACATTTGGTTGTCCCCGCTTGTGTTCTCATTCACAATACTCATACCACCGATATGATTATTTCGACTGTGTTAGTTCCCTTTTTTTCAATTTACTATCTCAATATTTTGACAGAAACCGTGTCGATTGGAATCGAAACACATTTACAACGGATTTTGTATTAGTTGTATCTTGGATCTTTAGTTGAGATCACACATAACCTAGATTTCATTCGAGGTGTGACTTACCAACAAGACGTACTTACAATGTTAAAATAAAGTTGGTACTCCCTTTGAGATTCGAGCCAGCATTACCCAGACTTAAGGTTTGGGAAGTTAGTTATATTGATAATCCCTGTAATTTATTGTCTCATTTATTGTCGGCTTTCATGGCTTCTTATTTACTGTTAACAATTGCATACAGATACGTTTCTTTGTTATTATTCCGTAAAAGAAGAACATTTATCATCAAATTATACGTAGTATTTTGTTCGATTCAATTGTTACATAAAGATCGTGTTGAGTTCTAGCTTTTAAATGTGAACCATGATAAATTGATCCAATGATTCAACAGTATCATGCACACTTGCAAATTTGGAGATCTTGTAGCTGAAATTGGAAAAAATTGAAACAATGGATAATGACTCCGTGGTCCATCTATCTTTCTTGATTCAATAGGTTCATTTCTTATTTACGTTTACCCAAAGGCATGTCCGCTGTTGCTTAAGTGGTTACAGTATGACAACTTACAATTAGTAGTTCGCAAATCCGAATCCCACTGCCTAATTCCACGCTGGGTCCCTCGTTAACATAACTAACTATTCACGCAAAAGCGAAAGGTACTGAGTTCGAGTCTCAGAGTGAACATCAACTCTGAGATACAGGTACATCCAGCTGACGAGTTCCAAATAGGACAAAACGCGCGTCAAACAGGTTTCCACTGCTAGCCACTATCCATCTTTACTTACAATTCACACAAACGGTTTACCTCAAACTGAGTACATAAAATTGTGCCTGAAAAATCTATTAAATTTCACTTTAACTATAGGCTAATGATTTGTAAAACCTGAATATCATGTATTATAGCCCATGTAGTTTCGTGAATAAAACCTGTTGATCAGTTCTAAAACAATATGAAACCACTTTAGTCTTTATGAGCTTTCAGTGACTGACTCCTCACCACCACTACCTCACACACACCTCCAGATAATGTCGTTTATGATTTTGAAAGCGAGATAGTCGTCAGTAGTAACATTGGATAATCGACATAAATTGATTCAAATTGAAATTTGTACCATTAGGTTCAAACTCAATGATTTAATTACTAATCTCCTAGTGTAGTGAACAGAATATTAATTGGGACAATCGAATGTATTTAAGCACAAATTACAGACTATCTCACTAAATTCTGATAACCATACAGTAAACAGTTAATTTGCAAACTATCAATCAATTGTTTCAATTTTCACTGTTCTTCCTGTAAATATCAATCCATCTTCTCTGATTTCATTGTTTTTGTATTTTCCTACTAATTGCGCTTCATTTCAGTTCTTTCCTTATCGGTCTTCTGCCAAAATACATTCTATGTCTGACCATCATCATATACTACTTATATGGATATAAGTAGATCACACCATAGTAGTAGTAGTAGTAGTAGTAGTAGTAGTAGTAGTAGTAGTAGTAGTAGTAGTAGTAGTAGTGAAACATCTGTTTATTGCTCCATAGTCTTAGAAGTTGGTTAACTGAAGTCAATTTAACATTTCAAATTAGATCTAATATTGTGTGTTTAATTTAATTTATTTTTTAGGTATGGAAAATGAAGGTGTCAATTGTTAATTCATTCATTTTGTATATATATACATCCATTTTCAACTATTTACACTTTAAACTATTTCTATATTGCTCTTATATATTAATAATGAGTAGTATAGTTGTATAGTTAGTATTTAAGTAGTATATTCACTGATGTGTAAATATTTAATGTATTTCTTATTTTTTTAATATTTTTTTTCATTTTCTGTAAATTTTTCGCCCCCCCCCCCCGATTTGTAAGATTCACTGTGTAGTTCTTCATTTTAATTGTTATATATTTCAACTTATTTTTTGTGAATATCTTTAAAGTTTTTATTATACTTTCTAAGATTTCATCTTTCATGAATATTAATCATATACGTTAATAATGTGGATTTAAAGAGTTCTACATATAACGAATACTCAAGCCCATTTGTTCCTGGAGCCAGACCATTTGCACCATTTGTTTGGAATTAGGGTTTTCCAACTCCCCTAGTTGGACTTTCTGTGTCCACCAACCCGGTTAGAGCGCCAGACATTCGCTTTTCGTTCTCTTAATTACGTAAACAACACCCCCACTACGAGAAGGCAGTGAGTAGGACTTCTCTGGCGGAGGCTATATACGCGTGGCCATGTGAGAGCGTTTCGGGAGGGAGGGTGGCCGCTCCTCACTCTCGGCTGTACCAGGGAATTTGGGGGCCCATAGATGATTTAGTTAAGAGAATAGTTTTTTTAAAAATATTTAATATTGTCTGTTGGCTTTCTTCTTTGAATTATGTATTACACACAGCCAAACGATAATCTAGTTCGACTTTCTGTTGAAGAAAAATCTGTTATGGTTATTATCCAAGATATGATATCAATCCATGAAATCATTAATTGTGTTAGTTTATGTAGACTTTCTGATTGTCGACGATGCAACTGTTGTAAATTAAAGTTTGTGCAGTTATTCGACATGAACCGAAATCTATCGCATCGACATAGTTATTGTATTTACTCAATATCTTCCTTCTTAAACCTTAGATTTAATGGTACTTCATACTACTTATTTGATTTTTCCGAAGCGTCTATCAGTCAGTCAGTTAGTTACAACGTAGGACTAGGCACATATATGCATCGGTCCAAGTTGCCATACCTCACTCATTAGCACAACAAAATGAACACCGAATTCATAGAAGTAGTTAATTTAGTGGTGGTAATATATAAAAGAAAGATTGTATATAAGGATATAGTATAGGAAGGAAGACAGATATGAAGCAATTTCAATCTCAAGGTTGAAGGAAAGATAAAGAGTGTGCAACGGTCGGGAAAGGGTCTATCATAAACTTTCTATTATAGTTAATATTATTATTTCTAATCAGTTTCTCATATTTGTTTTCCTGATTCAACATAAAATATGACAATTTGGATGGTTACAATCTTTTATTTACATCGTCTATAGTTGATTGATTTCTATCCAACGTACCATTTGGTAATGTACAAATGAATTTGATCTAATTTTCAAATATCAAAATGTATGACTGAATCTGAAATAATTTAACCTAAATTATAAATCGCTGTTGTTAAACGAGAAATTTATGCAAGCTTTAAGGAGAACAACTGAACTACGTAATTTCATTTATAACCCAAAACTTTTTCGAATAATAGTAGGCCGCAACTAATCAATGTGCGAAGGTAGATACATCCGGCTACACTGAATTTCGCATATATAAAACTGATTTCATTCTCGTTCCACTTGAACTCCACTTAGTTGCTTTGTATCGTGAGTTAAGGAACACTTTCCCTGATTTGTATATGCTTCTTGATCTTTGTCCAGATATTTGAATCGATTGTTTCACCTGATAAAGTACGACGACTTATTAATTCTATTGATCTAATCCTCAATCTTGACCATTCCTTCTGTAAATATCAGTCCATAGTCTCCTATTATTATTGTTCATGCATTTTCATATCAATTGTGTTTCTTTTCTTATCGATCTTCTAGTGAAATATATTCTCTGCCTGACCATCGTCGTATGCTACTTATGTGAATGTAAGCAACCCATACCACATAGTAACTAACATTTAAAATTAATGATGTGCGTTTTATCCTATTTAAGACTTATTAACTGAATGATCCTAAATCCTAGAACATATATAGATCATTGAGTATTGTTGACTAGCAATAGGATGTATCTACTATAAATAGCTACACGTAAAATTAGATAATATATATAACAAACCTTTGTTATATTTAATAAGTCTTGCTAATTGAACTTTATACTCTGATCCTAAGCTAGTCTCGTAAACCCCAAGCTAAATCTACACAACCACTTGAACATGAGAGAAAAGGCGCAAAATATGCGAGAAGCATTTTACTCCAAAGGTTTATCTATATACAGAAAATATAGGGTTTTTATAGTAATTCAGAAGTACAATTTGTATAGTTGCTATATGAAAGGAAATAGTTCTCGGGTAGGGTTTAATACTATTTTGCATGGTTGTTTATAACTGACTAACAGATTGATAGAATTTGATCCAGAATCATTCTTATCTATCGTCATATATGTTGCATGCCGAAGAGAATTATGAATGGTAACTTTTGAGAACTATTTATGGATCAATGTGATATGTCTATTTCCTATTGTATAATTGCTAAGTAATTTAACAATTCATATTCATGTTCCTTTTATTGTGAGCTGTATTTTGACCCAAAGACTATTATTATACAATTTACCATTCTTGAGTTATCCCTAGTCCATTTATTACTGTTCCCTCTAATCACAGCCATTTTTGGCTAAATCTTGTACAAATATTATTTTCTATTTTATGGTACGATGTGGTCTGTCTGTTTGATATATAAACCCAGTACATTTGAGAATAATGATTGATATTGCAGAGGCTGTTATTGGTGTTCTGGACTTAACTGACTGGGCTAGGCAGATCGCAGGACCGGTGATTAGCACTCTAGACTGCTCGTACAGTTTTCATGTGTCACTGTTTCAATCGATAATCCGCTGCTCCCTGTTTGGCGGTCTTATTACATCATAACTAGGCATCCACTCAGCCACAAGATATAACACTATAATCTCATACTCAATTATTATTAATCGATATTACATGATTTTCATAGTTGAAAGCGTGAGTCAATTGAAGGTAGACCTACATCGAAAACCTAGAAGCACTGGACGGCCGTTTTGTCCTACTATGGGACTACTCAGCAGTGCGCATCCACGACCCCTCACTCGCGAGATTCGAACCCAGGACCTACCAATCATGAGCCGAAGCCCTTAACCGATAGACCATTGAGCCGGCATCCAACGGTGTTAATGTCTAACTTTAAATGATCCACGATTTTAAGCAACCATTCACCAATTGTCTTCATTGAGTTCCTATCTCACAACAGATGTTGTTTGAATTCCACTAGTCATTGCTTGTCACTAGAACTCCTGTATGTACTCCTTGAAGTCAGCCACTAGTGAGCATATGATTATATTAATTATCAGAAGGGCCTATCGGTCCAGCTTCAATTGACTCACGCTTTCAACTATAAAAATACTGAAATCTCCACCAAACCCCTTTCTGATAATTGATATTAGATGAGTTAAGATTTTGTAATGGATAATCATTTTGTATTTTTCGTTTTTAAACGGTTGTTTCATGTAAATATTTTATATTATATGATAAATATAACCATGATCTTGGATCAGTTTCAAATGTATGATTACTTCTATATAATATTAGATCAGATTTCCATAATTTAAATACTTCCATTGTTGACATCATCTTCATCATTGTTGTATGAGTTGATTTATTGAAGTCGGTAAATTGTTGAAAACTTTTACTTCTTATTAAAGATGAATGATTGTTGAAATGATTATGTCCAGTGAGATTTCTTGATTTATTTATGAAAATAGAAGAAGAAACAACTTTGTAATATTATCAAATGGATATGAGTTTGTTTTTAGTGATAATACTACTTATTATCAATGTTAGTAATATGGAAAAGACGAAATAATATATATATATATATCAGATGGATAGTGGCTAACAGTGGAATCCAGTTCGACGTGCGTTTCGTCCTATTTTGGGACTTGTCTGCTGGATGTACCTGCATCTCAGATTTGATATTCACTCTGAGACTCGGACGCAGTACCTTTTGCTTCAAACGTCATCGCGTTATCCACTCAGGAACTAAGTCCTGATAGCCACTTGCTTGTGCACTTATAAGAGACTGACCAGTTACAGTCCTAAAACATTAATGAGAAGATTCAAACAAAAGATAATACCAAGTGAATTTAGACTTCACCACATTGTACAAGCAAGTGGCTATTAGGACTCGGTAGCTAAGTGAATGACGCGATAGCGTTTGAAGCGAAAGGTACTGGGTTCGAGTCCCAGAGTGAACATCAACTCTATGGTGTAGGTAAATCCAGCTGACAAATCCCAAATAGGACGAAATGCACGTCGAACTGCATTCCACTGTTAGCCACTATTCATCTTTGCTTATAATGCTTGTGATTTAAGGCTGTATCGAGGCAGCAATATGCACAGCATGCACATATGCCAATAATAAACTGGTCAATTGCAATCCTAAACATCAATGGGAAGTTCCAAACAAAAATAATACCAAGTGAATTTATGTATATCAGAAATGTTTATAAAACGATATGTGATCTATTTTCAAAGAAAGAGCGAACTGACAGCATCAATTGTTTGATGAATACCATTTATGTCTTATCACTAGGCTTAAATTCATTAGTTAATATGAGCTAGTTTTCTTTCTGTTGTGATATTTGTTACGAAACTGACGTTATCATCAGGAGTTTCAGTATTTTTTTCATTTTCTTGTTAGTTTTCCGCAAACATTTTAAGTCCTAACTCGGACTATATTTATGTTTTTCATCCAGTATATCAGGTTGTGCTATACTGAATATATACAGAGGAGCCGTGTTATAACCATCCTATATTTGGTCATCTGACGTATGAACCACAACTTAATAGTTAGAATATTAATGGAAGGTTAACAAAGTAGCCTTTTAAAAATTTCTGTTTTTTACATGTAATAAGTCATATCACCTCAACCGGATGATGCAGACTACTTAGTTTGGGTCCGCGCGACTATCGTAACCAACGGTTGGAGACTCTAGGTGACATGGCTCAGAATCGATCACAATGGCGCACGTGTATACACTCTTTATCTTCCCTTAAACCTTGAGATTGAAATTGCTTCATATCTGTCTTCCTTCCTGTATTATATCCTTATATACAATCTTTCTTTTATATATTACCACCACTAAATTAACTACTTCTATGAATTCGGTGTTCATCTTGTTGTGCTAATGAGTGAGGTATGGCAACTTGGACCAATGCATATATGTGCCTGACCCCACATTGTAGCTAACTGACTGACTGATGATGCAACTCATCAGCTACTTGCGGGTTTTTATTTATTCAGTTTTAAATCATACTTTAGATATAAGAATTAGTGATCATATCTGACTGTCTAAACCAAGATAGTGAATTGGGTTAAAAACTTTTGAACTATTTATTGAAAATTGAACATTAACTACTAAGTCATTACTCTAGTCGTGACCTAATTCTAACATGACCGTTAACTAATTTTTCGTCAAAAGTTGTATATTTTTCTTTGAATAACTGGTATTTGGTCAATCTGTTATTAATGTTTAACTCCGTCTGTACCTCCTCCGGGAGCTACTGCCGATACCAAACCCGGATAAAGTAGGAGGGTTGAGCATGGGGTTAGAGACCCCATCCCGTAGAAAACTAACTCGCTAAAAAGTCGCTAACCAGAAGAAAAATTATTCAAGTTATGAATGTTTCTCCATCACCGATTGTTTTCATCCCATAAAAAGCAAGTGAATATTGATCAGTAGATTTGATTCAGGGTCATTAATATATATTGTTGATTTAGCTTAAGGTTGAACCCTATATTTATAAGCATTATGATAGATGCATCATTATTAAGTCTTTAGAATGGAATTCCATTTTTGTTTAAAAATTCATTGTTCTTAATGGTTGCTTATCGTAGAGTTTAAAACCAGTGAAATCACTTAGTCCCTGGATTTTATGTCAATAATTCTATGGTAAAGAATAGGTACAAAGAAGTCGGCTACTGAATAGCTACCGTATTAAAATATTAGCTGCCCGTAGTTGCAAGATCTAAACCGTTCACTCTTAGTTTAATTTATTTATCAATGCCTATGAGATTCCCCAGTTTGGTTTGTGTTTGTTTGAGAGCGAATACTGGTTCTTAATGTTCATTTAAATCATCTTTCAAGTTTGTTGAAAGCACCGAATGAAGAGCATCGAGATTGTGCATCAAGTATTACGTAAAGTAGATAATCCATTTTGATAATTCTTTGAATCATAGCTAATTAAGATGGCTGGGATCTATGTTGCTCACAACAAATTGTAACCTTTCTTGGTAACATGCAGTTGTTTCAGAAATGCAATAAACAAAACATGAGAATAGTCAAACTACTGGTTAACTTGAGTTGGATAGTCAGTATCAAGCAAATGAAAATTTCAGAAGTTTGGATCAGAATTTATAGCAGCTACTTTATTCTTTTTCGTCTTCATTTGTTTTTAACATAATACTGTATCGCTAACACAACATGAGTAGTTGAAAGTAAACGAATTATCCGGCACGTAAATCCAGACTAAAGTGTATACTAACAGATGACTTAGTACTAACTCATCTCACGTTGTTTCTTTTTTATCACTGATAGAATTCTATTGATTGATTGTTGTAAATACTTCAATTCTACAGGGAGTCATTCCTAGCCCCATTAGGCCCAAAAGTAACGTATTATGTTGCGAAACTAAGTGACAGGAAATAAGAATCCTATGGAAGGAAACAATCCCCTCAAATTTATGGATATATTTTGATGTTGACGAATGTTAACGAACATGAAACGCTATCCGTTGGTCCCCAAATGCCCTGGTACGGTCAAGGGTGGGGAGAGTGCGCTCTAACTTTTCAAATGCTCTCTCACGGCTACGCGTATATAGCCTCTACCAGGGAAGTCCTACTCACTGCCTTTTTGTGGCAAGGGTATTTTCACAAAATTAAGGACGAAAAGTAAATGTCTGGTGAGGACACCGCGTTGGTGGACACGGAGAGTATACCTAGGGGAGTTGGAAAACCCTGATTCTAAGCCAATGGTTCACATAGGCCACAGGATCCTGGGGGAATAAATGGTGTATGAACCAATCATTGATCACTGCCCACCATGGACTGCATCTCCCAACGTTACTTCATTGCCTTGTGGATCAAACTTTTAGGTCGAAGGCTATGAATGTGGCCCCCTAAGAAAACCACCTACCTATAAAAGAAAGATTGTATATAAGGATATAAGGAAGAAAGATAGATATGAAGCAATTTTCATGTCACGGTTTAAGGGAAGACAAGGAGTATATACACCTACGTCATTGTGATCGATTCTGAACCATGTCACCCAAATTCTCCAACCATTGATTACTATAGTCACGATAGTAATAAACAATAGTACAAAAGACTACAGTTTTTCGCTATCTGATTGCTTCATATCTTGTTTTGTCCTCTCACTTATAAATTCCTTTTCTTGTTATATAATTTTCCGATCCCTATATGCAAGTTTGAATTATAGTACTACTCAGTCGAATACAGAAATCATATTTATGGTAGAAAATTGAAGGTGAACAAACCGTATTTGAAAAATCTTTGTAAGATAACAGTTCCCCACAAACCTCTATTGGTAAGTATGGGGAAGCAAGAATGAGATATCTTACGGTCAATAAAAAGTCATTATAAACTAACCTCTTTATGTCAAACAAATAACTCACTGAGACAAACGCTGTGGATAAATTTCCACCTCACTTTCCTTCCTATTATATTTCCCAGTTTATGTGTACGTGCTGAAGCACTTATATTGGAAGAACATAAAGGAGGGTTTTCATTCGCATCTGTAAGAATATTCCGTAGAGACTGAAGCTAAAGGTCAACGCGTTTTCAACACTTCGGTTGTTTACAGGTTGTTTGTTAAAAGACTCAATGTTGACAAATAATCAAAACGGGAGCAACTTCATATTTATTACTTCTCACAAATGCTGCCACCAAATGCATATATTGAAAAAAAGATCCAGTTAATCTCTCATTATTCCGGTTACATCTATTTTTAATATTTACTTGCGTAGTTAAATTAACCCTGGGATACTGCCTGGGTGACCAAACCGAAACAGGTGGTTTTTTGGGAGGCCACACCCTGAGTCCTTTAATTAGAGTTCTAATCCACAAAGAAATGGAGCAACGTTGGGAGATGCAGTACCATGGTAGCCGGTGACCAACAATAGGTTCGTACACCGTTTGTTCTCTCAGGATACTGGGGCTCATGTGCACCATTAGCTTGGACTCTATGGTTTCCAACTCCTTTAAGTGGATCCTCCGTGTCCACCAACGCGGTTTCCGTGCCGGACACTCGCTTTTCCTCCTCTCAATTTCGTAAACAGCACCCCCACCACGAGAAGGCAGTGAGTAGGACTTCCTTGATAGTGGCTGTATACGTGTGGTTATGTGAGAGCATTTGAAGAGGTAGAGCTGACTCTCCCCACTCTCGGCCGTATCAGAGTATTTTGAGGCTTACCATACAGTTTCATTTTGAATGAATAAATTTACTAGTCAGAATGTGGTGATATTGATTACTAAATTAAATTGGAGCTGAATGGGTCACTTGAAATTGTTTCCTTGATTTGATATTATACAACAGTCTGATTAGATTTTTTCAATCAATTCACGTTTATCATTTAAACAATTTTAATACAGTACATCCGTTTCGTTTATCTGAAATTTAGTCCGTGAATGATATACTTAGGTTGACCCGGATAAAATAGCTT